GTAAAAAATTCTTAGTATTATCTTAAAATCTATTTTCATGCCTAATTAGAAAATTTTAAATTTCAAAAATGGTTAAAATCAAGTAGATCTATAAATATATGAAAATCTTGAAAATGGACGGTTTAGATAATGTGTTGCATGATGTACTATTTTTGAGATTCAAAAACTTTTTTTTTTTCATATTCATAGATCTCAATGTCGAGATGATTGATCAGAGGGCTTTTTCAATATTAAAATAACATTTTGGTAGATTTTTGAAGTGCATATGTCATTCTACATTTTAAGGTTGCAACCTCCTTTTATAAACTTTTCCCATATATATATAAGTAATGATCCTATGAGACCCTTCCATACCTATGTGTGTAGGATCTCAAAAGATCATCATTAAATTTGACACACACACATACACACACACACATACACACACACACATATATATATATATAAGAAAGGTCTTTCCAATGCCTATAAGCAAAAATTAATAAAGATTTCGCCTATCTTCATCACCGTCTAAATTTCATCATACGATCACGATTGTCTAGTAGTGTTTTATTTTTTATTTTTTTGATAAATCAAAATGACCTTTTGAAAGGTATGTACATCTTACTGAGGCGTATCTAATAAAAATAAAAAAAATATTATTCGTAAAAATAAATTGACCAAAATACTCCTAAAACTTTTTGGATGTATTTTAGTCAATTTTTTTCATGTAAAATATTTTTTTTCTAATTTTTGAAGATTCCTCTATTTTTGATGAATACACGCTCCAAATTTCAAGTCATTCCAATTCGCAGAAAAAAAAAATGAAAAATGAAACACTACTGGACAATCGTGACCACACTTTGAACTTTAGACGGTGGTGGGGTAGGCGAAATCACTGTTCATTTTCACCTATAGGCGTTGCGTAGTGTTTTTCCTATATATATATATATATACTAAAAACCCTAATACTGAACTTATCTTAGAAATCGAAATATTAAACTATGATAAGATACTACTTGTTGTAATATGCTGACATAGTATAAGAATGCTAAGATGATAAAAATAGCAGATACAATAGATATATCTATTACTATCCACGAAGTATGAGTATAATTACCAATTTTTATGCTAAATACTAATTTAAATTGCATTGTGGAAAAAACATAAGAATCACATATATTGATTCAGAAAAAGAAATACAGGAAAATAATACATACTTACGGATTATTACAAATACATAAGCTGGAAAATGACTGCCATTCGTGAGGGCAGTAAGAGGGTACAGTTGATAAATTACAATCGCACATGTATTAAAAAATAAAGAGTAAGAAGTTACCGACTTGAGAGACGGTAGATTTACAACAGTACTAAGCTACTGTCGTAGAAAGAGTAAGAGAACAGAAAGAAGAGAAGAGCAAAAGAGAGTAGAAGAAGATGGAAGAAAAGAGCAGAGGTCTGGGCTTGATCTTCTTTGGTATGCCGGAAGTCCTTGTAAGCCTGTCTTTTGGTAAGTGAAGGGGGTTATTTATATTAGGCGAGAGGTAACTTGGTGTCGAAGGTATCACCTCTGATTGGTTGGTCCTTTGTTGTGTCAGTGAGAGGAGTTAAAGGCGAAGGATGGGATGTAAACTTGAAGAGATGTTTGTCGTGACTTATTGTTGTCGAGTATGTGGTGGCTGTGTATTGGTTGCCGGAGAATTGACGTGACAGAGGAATCTCTGGTACTGTGCTTGAGGCTTCGTGGCAAGCATCCGAGGGAGGTGTGACTGTAGTTGGAGTCACATCGTGAATATAATGAGGCGACGTGGCGGTCTGTCGAAGAAGGCGTTATTGTAGTTGGAGTCATGTCGCGAATATTACTGTAGTTGGGGTCATGTCGTGCATAAAGTGGAGTCATGTCGCGAATAAAGGTAAATATAAGAATCTGCTTTGCGTCGTATCATGTGAGC